TATTTCAAGTCCAATCTCTTGAAAGAAAAGCCTAATAAGCTGGCTTGACTCAGCCCTAACACTCTTCTTTATTGAGGTTTTTAGGCCAAATAGGCCCTAGTTAATGACCTCCATTGGGCAAAAAGTGCTTCATATGGGTCATTTTCTATGGCCCAGGCTTTTCTCATAATAAGAGTCCCTTCTGAACTTGACAAAGCAATCCAATAATAATGCCCTCGCAAATCTAAATCCTTATCTTCTTCCCCTGTGGCCGAAAGAACCATTCCACAAATGTTAAAGTAAATCTTCACATCACACTCTCTTATATTATCTTCACTTAAACCAAGCTCTTACCTACAAGTACTATTATTAGTTATTCCTTTATTACTGCCTCTTTATATTATACTCCTTTTATCTCAAATTACAGAACACTTTTGAAGGAGTTTTTTCATCCTAAAATATAAGACACTTTGAGCAAATTAAATTTTTATTAAAAGCACTAATTATAATATTATCCTTTCTCTCTCTATAATTAATTTACATCACTTCTCTTTTTAATATATTAAATTATGAACATTTTAAAAAATTTATATTTTTATTTTGAAAAGATAAAATTGTTAAGTGTATTTAATGAGGTTTAGTAATATGTAAAATTTTCTCTAAAAATATTTTATAATTTAATATGAAGAGAGTATTACCTATATCTACCTCAAAGCTCCCCCATGGGGCCTTATCTCAGTGGGAATGACTATGAAGAATAGAAGAAATGAGATGAAAAAGAAAGTGTGTGTGATGTCCTCAAAGCGTGAGCAATACTTTCCTTTATGCTTAATGTGCTTCGACTTATTTTAATTTTTCAGTGCAGATTTGTGTTGATAATGAATTTTTTTAAGAATAAAACGAAAACTTTTGAGCATGGTTTTCACTTCCGAGACTCAAGCCAAATCAATACTAGATTTTACAGAACAATAATTTGACTTTATCTCCAATGCACTAAAAAACAAAAGCAACAAATTTGAATATTTTGATGTAAGAAATGAATGATGATGAGGGGTATTTTTTTATTAATGAAGTGATACCTTGCACAATAAACTCTTTACTTAAAAGTCATAGGTCTATTTGGTTTCATGAACCACTATAGTCTAATAATATATATTAAACAAGAGTTATTTAAAATAACTTTTCATGAATATGCAGAATTTCTTTAAAGTAATATTTCCTTTCACCAAGTGGCACATGTTAATTTTAAAACCTCCCAAAGATGCTTTTAGAAATAGAGAGACACAATCTTGGTGATCATAACTTCCTTCAGATAACCCTTTATAAAAATTCTTTAATTTATAAGAAATAATTTTTTTTCAAAGAAGACATTTCTTCATTTTAAAAATATTTCAACTCCCTAATCATGTTTGTTATTGATTAACTAGGTCTAAATTTGTTGCGTAGTTTAGGATCGACCTAGGTCATTACTTTTAAGGAGCAAGTTTTGAGCTTTCTTAATTTTAATTTGAAGTGTTAAATGATGTAAGGGAATGGACCTAAACTAAATTGCATATCGCTAATGTCTTAAACGCATTAAAACTAACTAAATGCATTCAAGAAGCTACAATGATTATGCAAATGCCATGAATTAATTAACAAAAAGTAAGAAATGTTTGTTTTAATTATGATATATGGAACAACTTGAGAATTTTTATGGAATAAACTTTCATAACCCAATTCAATTAATTAGATATAAGGGGAAAATGATAAAATAATGAAATTAAAAAGTTATATTACATAATTGAAGCATAGGAAACCCTCAAGTATAATAGCCTAACATTTAATCTGCCATAGAGCTCAAATCATAGTGGTCCAAGTAATACATCATCATGAATTAGGCCAATTAAACCCATTAAAAACCAAGACAATTAGTTCAAATTGACTATGAAAATTATGTTTAGAATAATCTAATTGACAAATTAGACAGTTTACTGACTTAATTGAAAGGGCATAACCCACCCAAATTTGCAACATTAACCGTATTGAAAACTAAGTTAATAGTGAAAACTCAGTTATCAATCTAATTGGTAATGCCAAGGGTTTTATAAATATAAATTTCAACAAGTTACTTAACACAAATTCAATTTAGATATCCATTCAATCATAGATTCAAAATATTTATAATTTATAATTAAATTCTCCTCAAACAATACAAGTCAGGACCACTTAAAATTAAATTATCTTAAAACTCTTGAATTAAAAATATAAATAAAAAATCACTCTCTTATTATCTTCGAATGCTAGGTTCCAGCTCCCTTTATGTTTATCTATCAGGTTACCTCCTAAGTTAGCTCAAATTTCTATATTTGAAAATTTTCCTCTAAGCTTCTTGTCCTTATAGAACAACGGCAAAGTCAAGATCCTTAGTTAGAGGTACATGACAACTTAATTTAAAAATTAATAATTTTTTTTTAAATATCATATAATAAAAATTTGAATTCAAACATTTTTTTTGTTGAGGTAAATTTAAGCATTGTTGGGTTTAATTAAAAATAGTTTATTTTATGAGTTTAATTGAAGATAGTTATTAAAATATTTTTTTAAAGAGAATCACATTTCAAATTATAAATATGTATAGTATGTTTTCTCTCCTGAATAGTTATGATCATGCAATCACAACCTCGAGTCACTGAACCAATTCTTTTAAAAAAAAAAAAAACAAGAAGAAGAAAAACAAAACATTGTTTGCGTATGCTTGAAATCTAGCTCGACATGAGTTGGGCTTTAGATGAGCCCAAATGGAAGATCTCCGATTGAAATCTGGCCCAAACATGATCAACCAATCCATGTTTTTTAAAAAAAATTGAATTTTTTAACTGAATATAAGTTTTTTTTTAACGATGAAACACGCGCACACGTATCATCTATGCCAATCTGTAATTATAGCTCTCATATCATATGATTGTAATTATATTTTAATTATTATATGTCAAAAGCAGCATCATATCATATGAACTTACCTACACATTATTTTAAGTCATCATTGGCATCATTACTTTTTAAAAGAAAATAATAACTAAAGACACACAAGTGACTTTTTCTAGAATGCAAGAAACGTTAATTTATTTATTCAATGATAAAAATCATTTGCATTTAAAATTTTGAATGACATTTAGTTATATATAGCTAAGTTCAACAGTCGGCTGAAAGACCTATAAAAATATGTTAACATCATATGTCAAGAAAGTATGATAGATAAACAGTGTTATAATAGTCTAGAAAATATGAGGAAAGGTAGTTTCTTCAATAAATGATCAGAAATAATATTTCAGGAAACTAACACACAATAATAAAATAATTAATAATTAACTTTGAACTAAAACTGATATTTTTTTTAAAAAAGAGAATTTTGAAAGTGCTCCATATGTAAATATATGGCTCGGCCTATATTTTAGTATATATAAAATTGAGAACTACTTTATTTATAAGTAATAAATATGTTCTTCGTTTTAATTATAAGATATTTTTTAAATAAAAGTATACATAATTATTAAATAATTTAATACTTTTAATTTTTATATAAACTTTAAAAGATATTTTTAGTAGTAAAAGAATTTTTTAAAAACATTTTGTATTTTGAGATAACAAATGGCTTTAAAAATATTTTATAAAATAGGATGGAGTAATATTTTTTTTAATAAATTTTATATTATATATAGAAGCTATCATTCATAGAAGCTAATGAAAACCATTAGTTAATTCATAAAAGAACTATATCAACGGTCTGGTTCCTTATTAGCTTCTGGGACAAGAACAGAAATATACAGGGAGTAATAAAACAATCTGCGATCTTCCTTTTGGCTCGAAGCTGATTTTAAAAGATCCCGAGCCTACGCTTCATCATGATGACTGCCATAGCCCTAAACAAGTAAAGAAGAAGAACAAGAATTAATATATAGTTTCTTTGATGAGGCCTTACTTTAATGCGCTCCAGAATTATTCCTAAAGCATTAGGATTGTTATCATTGCTTCCATTCTGATCATCATCATCATCATTGTCAAGAAACTATCTTTTTCACGTCCTATATATGCACACAACGATTCTGTATCAGGTAAATCAGGCATATACATTATTATCATCACCAGAAGAAATAGTATGCTCAAGAGAGGTGGTAACACTATATCAATGATTTCAAACTCTACATTGTTGGTAGGGTGGTGTCTTCCCAGGAGGCGGCTCCGGCGACGGCGAGGCTGCACCGTAAGGCTGGGGAATCGACGGCGGGTTTTCTGCCTCGGATCACGGCCGGTTGTACAGTGGGGGGTCATGGGTCCTATAAGGATGTTGAAGAAGATGATAATGGAGATTGCTCCCAAGGGACAGTTCATTGAGGCATATTATAGGTATCTGCCATTACTGCGTCCCCAGCTCTTTCCTCTTTGTTGATTAAATAGAAGGTTCATTAAGGAGGAAGAAGAAGAAACCCAGAAATGATAATGCTTCTCAGTTTTGATGACATAATATATATATATATTAACCTTCAAAGTTTATTCTTTTGGTTTTGTACTGTCTTCAGCATGTAAAAGTTTGTGGTAGTACTCTTAGAGGAAAAAGGAATGTATTTCTTCTCTTCTAATTTTTCCATGGAGGCTACACTATTAATTTGGACGTGGTAGCTTTCTCTTCCATAAATCTCAGTGCATGTTTGGATACATCAAATAATCAATTTTAAAGGTTATCATATAATCAAATAATAATCTCCAAACCAAATTTGAGTAATTAGTGAACCCATGGCCAAGTGGGAACCTATCATGCGACTTGTGAAAAAGAAAGGACCAGTGTCGGCATTCCCATGGTACAATGTTAGGGAAATAAAGCTGCTAACATATGCTACATGCCTCTTTGATTTTAACATCTCTAATTTTCGTGCCACTCGTTTTCCTCTGTTCCCAATTTTTTTATATTAAAAAATTTAGATGTTGGGTTCGAAGGACTGATCACCTGGGTTAGACTATACTTTCAGTGAATACTTATAAAAATATTTATAGATAATTTATTAATAAAATTTTCACATGGACAATAAAACTTGATATTGCTATCTTGTAAATTATAGATCAAATTCTCATCAAGTAGATTAATATTTGTAAATTTCTCATTGCATCATTGGTGAGCTAGTAAGCATTTTTATTCATCACACACTTTTTAGGTGTCAGCCATGAGCCTGATGAAAAAGAAAAAATGCACATTGTGCTTGAATAGAGTCAAGGGTAGCTGGATCGATCATGATCTAAATTAAAACGTTTGAAGTGTGAGGTTGAATTGTATGGAAGGGACATAAGGCCTGCAATAGTGGCTTTTTTAGTTTTTTGTTTACACGAAGCATCAAGATACACTGCTAACAAAAATCAGTTCAATTGATAAAGACTTGACACATAATTCACAAAATTATAGAACTAAACCCTGCTATTGATGTAACAATCTTGTTAGTAGGTGACTTGTAAGTATCTTTATTAACACTCTTTTGATCACAAGACATGTCTTGATGTTAGTGAGCCCTCAAAATTCAATTCATCTAGATATATATATATATATATATATATATTTTAGGAATTTCAGCCAAGTTTGAGAGCATGTAAGAGTGGGGAGTTTGGAATCAATGAATGGTCCCAAGATCTACTACTATCAAAACCTCAAGTCCTTTTGTCTTTGCCTTCCAATTATTGGTGTGGTGATAGGATCACTACTTGATTTTAACCCACCTTTATTAGTTGTTTAATGTGACAGATTCAATTGCCTGAGCTTATTTGGAAAGATATGCATACATCTGATCAAAACTTGTTTATGGAGAAAGCAAGAAACTTATTGTATCTTAGCTGATTAGGATATGACACATATATTTTGCTTGATCCACAATCAAAATTCGTCACTCCATCGTGAATAGAAAGCACTTATACTTTATAAAAAGCTTGATGTGTCGTACTTGCCAATTTAGTCGTGAAGTTACATCTGAAGCTCTTTGAGAGAGAAAGCTAAAAATCACAGTGAAACTTCTGTTTGGTTTCAAAGTTAAATAGTGAGAACAACAGATTCTACGTTCTAACAATCGTGATGCCACATCAAAATCAGATCCTTTTCTTTGATCAAGCTTAATATGTTGGGATAACCTCAAATTTCCAAATAGATCAGCAAATTTTGTTCATAATTTATACTAATACTATATTTTAGCCCTGGACCAAATTTAAAATTTATAAATAATTCTTAATAAAAAGACTATAACAATGAAATTAGGTACCACAATTATAACAATACAGTTATAAATAACTAACTTTTCAGATCCGGTCTATCATGACTTATTGGTTGTAACATCCCACTTTGTGAGGCTTAGTGTTGTAGTCTCCCCTTCTTTATTTTCTAATTATTTGAATATCTGTTCTAGACCTGTATTTACCAAAAGAAAAAAAATACTATCTTTTGTATGTTAATTCTCTATTGATGCTGGGTAATATTTGTAAATGTAATACTCAGAAGATATAAATACATAACAACTTATTTATGTCAGAAATATAAACAACATTACAACCTATTCTATTTTATAGTTTAATATTTTATAACATTATTCCAAAAGTTATTTTTGTTTAATTTTTTATATATTAGGTTTTGAAAATATAAATTATTTATTTTATTTTATAGTTTTTCACTTGTACAATTTTAAATATACTCCCTTAATTAGAAAATATAAAGTATTTTTTGAGGAGTTGAATGTTAAAAAATATAAGATATTTTTAATCTTTTTAAGTGTAATCATTATTTTTTTTAAAAGTGTCCCTCTTGAATAAATTATTTTATATTTATCTTAAAGTAAAATGCCCTATTAAATAAAAATAAATATAAAAATATAATATTAGTTTGAAGAAAATAATTTAGATAACGACATGCACAAAATTATTTTATAATTTGTGACGCAGTACACGTTGAAATTTGAAGTTATGTAGGTTTTATTTTAAAATTTATTATTTTAAATATCATTTATAACTATAATTTTTTAAAAAAGTAATAATTAATGTCAATATTGCATGAGTAAAAATTGTTAACATAATATCTGAAAATTTTTAAAAATAAAAAATCTAAATTTACAAATTATGAATTAAAAAATATCCTTAATGAAAAACGTATTATTAGATTTTTTTTTTAATGGTAAGAGGATATTCATAAAAAAAAAGAAAAAGAAAAACATTCCATGGATTCGGTAAAATATATATATATATATATATATAAAGATTTGATGATCATTTTAAATTAAATAAACACATAGATTATGATTCCAATGATTGTTTAAATCCAACGGTAAATATTTTTAATCAACATTCAACAAACACGACTTTAACTGCTTCAGAGCACTCTCTTCTTCTTCCGATAGCCTTCATCTTCTCCCTCCATCTGCGTGATTTTCGTCCGCCTCACTTATTGAACTCAGAGCTCTTGATTTTCACCGGCGCCGTTTAGAAGATTGATGTCAAAACCTGCAGCTGTGAAGAACGTTAATGTTCGGCGCCTTCGAGGTTTGAATCTCCGCAAAACAACAAAATTAACTGGCTGTTGGATTAAACAAATGGGTATGAGAAAGCTTGCATAATTGGAATAAGTCCTGAAACTTGATTTTTAACACCCATATGTATGCTATCATAGACCGAGTCTCTCACGACACTGCAAAATCTTGAGGGAAGGAGGACGATGAAGTGTTTGGGAGATTATTTTTTATTTTTTACTTTCTAGACTTTTCTTTCCACACTGCAATATCATAAGCTAATTTACAGTGCCGCTTGATTGACAATTTCTACGGCCTAACGCACACCTTCCTGAGAATGACCTCTGGTCTGACACATTAAAAAGGAGCCACTAGAGGGGACAAAGGAAAGGGAGAGTCACTTAGAAGCAAAAGTGATTCCATGGTGTTCACATCAATCGTAGAAATGTTAGGGGGAGGATGAGCTGCATCTCAATAATTAGTGATGGTTTGTGATGGGTTTCTAAAAGCATCAAGCAAAGTGATGTTAAGCCACATGCCTACCCAACAAACTAATCCATTTCTGAGAAAAATTCTCACTTTTTTTCCTTCAATGTCCCCACAATCACACCTCGTGGTCCAGCCTCCCCTTACCTTATCACGTTCCAGCCCCCATCTATTTCAGAAACTTGGTCATGTCAACCTTTAATCACACTTCTTTTCTTCGCTTAAAGTAATTTGAAAGGCCTCTTACACTGCCCCACTGGATAGATTCCAAGAAAAAACTCAATTAAGTGATCATCAACTAACTTCCTAACTTGCCAGACCCATCTCTATTGAGCCTATATGTATCCCTCTACTCTCTGACTCTGAGCTGTGAGGTCTGTTGTTTTTCTTTTTCTGAGAACTGAAACCTTAATATATGTGACATGCCATAGTTATAATGTCTTCTGTGCAATCCAGTCCCTGCTACCCCATGGAAAACCCAGTGATGGAATCCCTGCTCCGCCACAGCCATCATAGGTCGGGGGAGAAACGTGGCCGCGGTGGCGGCAAGTTCTCCACCGGCGGGCTGTTAAAAATGTTCAAGCTCTTCCCTATGTTGACATCTGGCTGCAAAATGGTGGCACTTTTGGGAAGACCACGTAAGCCTATGATCAAGGACAATGCAACTTCAGGCACAATCTTTGGATACCGCAAAGGAAGGGTGAGCCTGGCAATACAAGAGGATCCTCACTGCTTGCCGTTCTTCTTCATAGAGCTACCAATGCACACGAGTGCTCTGAACAAGGAAATGGCGTCAGACATATTGAGAATCGCATTGGAGAGCGAGACAAAGACCCCGAAGAAGAAGCTGTTTGAGGAGTTTGTGTGGGCAGTCTATTGCAATGGGAGGAAAGTAGGGTACTCCATAAGGAGGAAGCAGATGAGTCAAGATGAGATGCACGTGATGCAGCATTTAAGAGGCGTTTCCATGGGCGCAGGGGTTATTCCAAGTCCTTCAGAGAAGGAAAGTCCAGATGGGGAATTGACATATATGAGGGCAAGATTTCAGAGGGTGGTTGGTTCTAAGGACTCTGAAACTCTGTACATGATCAACCCGGATGGTGCCCAAGGCCCAGAGTTCAGTATTTTCTTTGTTAGAGCTCACTAGGTTGTTGATTAAATAATTACAACTCCAATTCCTTAGTCTTGTCTTTTTTATAGTACGGAAATCCAGGTCAATTCGCCTGATTGAATCATGAAATCATTAAACCAGTGTTTTTGTCGGTTTAATAAAATAATTGGTTTATGATCGGTTTGATATGATTCGATTATGCTTTTGACTATTAATTTTTTAACCAGTGTTTTGACTAGTTCAATGTTGAATTTGAATTTCAGTACCTGCGTCTTTTTCAGGGTGCTGATATAGTATAATATTAATCAAAGGAATCACGCCCTCCAGTCTCTGACTCTTTTATTCCTGTTTGCATACTGCATATATACATTTGCTACTGATATTCAAGGCCAAATTCATCGTCAACAGTAGGTGGCCTTGTCTTTGTTCCTTTGCCTTCTAGTTTCAGTTTTAACTGCTGTCTGTAACCTTTCAGGTGTCCCTTGGCGGATCATGCAAAATGTCATAATATCTATATATTGATAATCTTCTTTTTTGTGTATTTGTCTGATTCTTTCAAATTTTTACCTTCCGTGCGTATTCCAGAGGATAAAACTTCTTGAGTTGAGAAAACCCTGCATATAATATTATAGCAAGATTATATAACTTTTAGTTTTTGAATTTTCTTTTCATTATTAATTTAGTTAACTTTAACTTAGTGCAACTGAATATTTATAATTTATTGAGTTGATGAATTATAAAAATTGAGTTGTTACAAATTAAAAATCAGGAGCTGAGTAGATAATTAAAATCAAGTTCATGAACCAAAAATTATAATATATTTTCCCTCTCATAAAGTACATGTTTTTATTGGACTTTCAAAAGCTATGCACGCATAAATGCCGTCCCTATATAAGATGCATACTTAATTACTAGATATAAATACAGCACATTAAATTATATTAATTTTTTAAATTGTCATATACTTGTATTTGCGTCAGTTTTAATGCCTTCTATATTACCTCACGAATCTTTATAGACTCTTACGTGATTAATTAAAGAACCTACACAAAATTCCTCAAAATTACTGAAAAACAAGTACGGTTTTTGACAAAGAATTCTAAAAATTATTATGAATAACCTGCCAGTTACGTTGTTAGGAATATTTTCCGGGATCCATCCTTTACATACTTTAAAGTCATAAAAAACTGTAACAAAATTATACAATAGGAGATAACAACTTAGAAAATTCGTTGAGCCAACAAAAGAGTGGGGAAAAGAAACAGTTCTGTCAGATCTCGAATGTTATCCACAGGTTAAGAAGCTCCACAGTGAGATTAGGGAACATGATAGATAGCATGAAGCGTTACTTAATGTGCCTACGCCAACCTAAAGAAAACGTCACTTCATGGTTTACATCATTAGTAGAACAAACATAGAAATCTAAGTCTTACCACAACAGCAAACTAGATTAGCATTTCCCGAAGTATGAAAACAAGGATGATTGTTTATCATCCGCAGAACTCTTCACTTTTGCATTTTTCTTCACTGGACTTGCGCTTTCATGAAAAGCTGGCTTTGAATCTTCTTTAAAAGCCTCATAATCACGCTTGATTTGATGCTTTGCCGCATCATCTTTATCATAGTTACATTCTCTGGTCTTTTTCTCATCATCTCCCTCCTCAGTTTCAGGTTCCTCCTTCGTCGCTTTCGGCAGATTTTCAATTTTGACATGTTCATGACTTGATACTCTCTGCTCTGGCTTTGAGTCTTTCCTTTCAGCTCCTTTTTTTGTGAAGAACTTAGAAATTGAAGCATTCCTTTCTGTCTTGAGTTGAATCTGAGAAACATGAGAACATGATAAATTGAATATTTATCCTACATGCCATCAATCAACTTGGGACTATGTTCCTTTTACTTTTTGGGGAAAAAAAATTACACGCAACTTCCCCAACAATAACTGTGCTATGTATTATCCAAAAAAATGATAGCCTTACATATAAGTTAAGTCTAGCTTCTAAAAGTCATGTTATTGTCACATGATACATTATGTCTTCTCTATCATCTTTCCTGTTTTTTCACCTTGCATGACAAGTAATAAGATAACTACATGGCTTTTAGATATTAACTTGCAATATTTTCCTACTTTCTGTGATAGTTTAGGAAGATAGTGCTACGTTTTTAATATTAAAACGAGACACATTGTGCAATCGCATGGGAATCTATAACTTTTGAATCTTTAAGAAACTACAGTAAAATAAACAGTACCCTTGATTACGATATATATATATATATATATTGATTGATATCGATGATTGTCAATTGATGATAGATTATAATTAAATTATGTGGAACTATAAGTCATTGTTCCTCCATCAATGCTGGGACGTTTTCTAGTTTAATATACTAAGGATAAGAATGATAAACTTAACTCTATCCAAATCCCTACTCACCCAACCATCTAAGCTATCGCTGTAACACACGTAAACAGATATGTGCATCAAAGTGACATTCAGAGATAATCACCCAAAAAAAGGTGACGTTCAGAGATGTACAAGCAATAGCATGATACCTTGCAACTATAACATGGGTCCCACAAACATCAATGGGCAATGGCAAGATAAATAGTGCCACAAAGAAAAAAGCTGGCATATTTTTTGTTTTATTTTAATCAAACGGCAAAAACATTGTCATTAAAGCTTTCTGGATGACCTGTACGCACCAAACTACTGGCCAAAACTTTCCCCCTCAGCAAATTTCTGTTTTAAAGAACAATAAAGAGCAACATCCGGTAATTCACAGCTTTCAATTTGCCATATTAAAAAAGTAAAATTTAAAACACTACAAATAAAAGCGTAGTCAATCTAATGCCAAAATGAGGTTTGGATTCAATTCTAGGTGCCTTATTTACCAAATTATATAGGTTTGGATCCAATACTACGAGCCATATTTGACATATGCAATTCTAGGAGCTTTCTCTAACTAGTAATCTTCATATCAAACAGAAGTTGACGGGCCACACCTCTTTTATGCACTCAGGCCCATCAAAAGATGGCTTGCCCATTGCAGGGGTGACTGGATACCACGCCTGCAGATTAAAGAATTTGGAAAACCAATAGTAGCAGCAGCAACAACAATAATAACAATAATAATAATAATAATAATAATAATAATAAAATAATAAATAACTAAATTTCATAGCTTTGATGTCAAAACAGAAAAAACAGAGAGAAAGAAAGAGAAACATTGAAAAATCATTTATTGCCTCAATTTCTCATTTCAAAAGTTCATACCAAATCAGATTCCTCATATGGCTTGAGCACTGTCTTGTAATTGGAAGAATTGTTTAGCCACGTATCAGTAGAACCCTTGTCACCTAAAATAACAGGCATCCTATCTACAGAGACACATTAAAAATAATTAACCTCCGTAAGACTCGGTTATTAAGGCAATAATTTAGACAGCTATCCTCATTTGGTAAAAGATCTAAGAAAGGACACAAAATTTCCTTATGACAAGGGTACAAGTAAATCAATATATGTACAGGCATGCAAGTAACTCAGAATCATGAAAACCAAAGGATTAAGTAACATCCATTGGTTTCAAAGTACACAGGATTTTGCCTTATTGTGTTCCTAATATATGCAAAACATTTTCCATTTATTTAAAAAAAAAAAGTCATTTGAAGTACATGGAATTTTCCAAGAATAAGAACCCTAAACAATGCAATAAGCACAATGGAGATATACTGATGGAATCGTCCAAATTCTCAGTATAGTTTGTTGAAAGCCATAGTTCCTTCTCTATGAACAGAGGTGGAATTTCTGGCAAAGGAATTACAAGAGAAAGAAGCAAAATGGAAGGTAGAAGTAAGCAAAAGGCTATTGTATGGCCATGTTCTCCAGAAATCTTGCTATCCCTTCTCATCCTATCAGCTAATCCATATACTCCTCCAACGATCCAGACGCTCTCCTTCGGCACAAACACCTTATGTCTCATGTGATATGGTTTAACTTTTAGAGATTTCTCCCCAACCCTCCAGCCACCACCCTTGATATCATCTCTTAGTCTAACGTAAACATTCCCAACTAGGGGCCAGAGTAGATATCATTGGGCCCATCATCTACTAGTCACTTATTCAGCTCTCCTGCTCTAAAATCTATTAGAAAGATATGTTCCAACCTTTGAAAAGATATACTTTTTAAAGCATTCTAAGCAAGTAATTCATTATCAACATTTCTCTAATTGCTATCGTCTACAACTACATGTTACCTTACATTTGGACAAAAACAAATTTTTCCTGAGCTATTTCCTTTGCAATCAATTTCCGATCATTGCATCCATTCTGTATTCTTGAGGCCAGAAACTAAACCATCATAATAGTTTCCCCATTTATGTAATGCATGTATTATATAGTTGAGTCAGATAAGAATATTGGTATCGAAATGTTGATCTCTTTACTTTTTTCTTACAATAAAAATATTGCTGGCTTGCAATGGTCCTGCACTGCCGTTGTCAAGGCTATCTAATTCATTTATAAGTTGAGGAAATATGTATGAAACGTAAATATATATATATATATATATATATAAAATTGGAGCCAACCACAATATCTAAGCAGGATAGATTCATATGAAGAGTATGATAGCACCAGAAAGTGCCACAGATAATAGAGCACGGGAAAAATTGTTTGGATAAATAGAATAATATGCAAGAGAATCAACCTCCACTACTTTCATGAGCAAATGAAATGTTTTATGATAAAAATTTCATGCAGAGGACAAATTGGTGCAATGCTAGGGCATTCCTTCAACTACTCAAATGATAATACATGTATGAGGGATTCTTTTTGATTTATTCAGGCATTTGAACATGCAAGAGTGGAGTCGCCACTTACCATGCAACCACTGCAGGGATGAAGATGAAGAGGTCGTGAGAATTGTGAATGTATAAAGCATCTCACCTGCACAAAAAAATATTGCCATCTTCAACCAATAGCAAGCAGCATTTAACTTTCAAGTGGTAAAATGCAAATCCCACTCTTCATCTTTCTGCAGGAATATTACCTTCAGAATTTTGCCAAGAATCATAAAGAGCAGCAAAGACAAGAGGGCGTCCATCTTTGAAGTGAATGTAGTAAGGCTGTTTTCCTGATCCATCCTTTTTCCACTCATAAAATCTTAAATATACATGCATATAAGAGTCTCAGTTGACAGAATGGAACTATCAAAACAGAATTGACAACAATGCTAAAGAAGTAGAGAGTGCATTCAATATATCTACTTTCACAACATTAATTTTATTCGTGTAAATTATATGTTTTGTATTTCTGTTTTCTGGTTAAATATTGATAAATAAACATTAGACTCTTACCTCAAATCTCACTTTTTTTTTACCTATGCATTCAAATATAAAAGGTTGCAGAATGAAATTTTCCTTACAATCATTTCCCATGAAGATTCATCTTTAACATCATTATGTTGCCAACAAGCCGGGGAAAAGGGAAAAAAAAGGGGACACACAAACCGTGGAAATGCATTCCAATCACTATTGTCTATTACTCAGCTCAAAGACTATATCTGGTCTGAAAAAATAAAAAGCTCAGGGACTATAACTATGAATATCAAAATTATCTATAAGATTGACCCAGCTACAACTTCAACTATGATTATACTTGCAAAACCTGAAAGACAACTGATAAAACTAGATCTTATATGCACTTCAAAATTTGAAATACATCCCACAGTATAAAAGCCTTAAAGGGAACAGGAACAGGATTTTGAAAGAAAAGTTCAATAATAGGAATCATTTCTAATTCACGCAATAGCTAACAACAATGAATGCATCATAAAATGGTTATAATGCTAAACATACCCTTCTACAACCACAAGGCACCTGCATTTCGGAAGAAGGCGGCGAAATGAAGCCTTTTCGCCAACAGATTCAGACCGAGCATTAAACTGAAACACATAACACCCATTGATATCAATACACAGGACTCAAGGGGTATAGTTTATAGTTATCTTAAAGTTAAAGAACTCTAGAGATTGTTCAAGAACACCCTGATACATGTACCATGAAATTTTAGAACCATGCTACATTGTTTTACTGAACTGATATTTCTAAGAAACAAGGCATCACACTCAGTTGATTAGTTTCCTGACAACAAATGCAAGAAAGGACAAAAACACAAATTGGCCATAGATTGTAGGGAAAAAAGGGAAAAAAAATTAAAAAGCATAGATTAAAATTATAAACATGGAAGCTACTTAGCAACGATTTGAACAAAATGAAGCCTCATAAAGAGGCTGACAATATTATTGGAAAATATAAGCATTTCTTACTTTCCATTGTGAAAATTTTTCATTCACAATGACAAAAAAGATTTTTAGAGATTTCTCTCCTACCCCTCCAACCATATGTATGAAATGGATTCACCGATTTCCATCATTTGTTCTTCACTGTTAAATGACCACTAAGCATCAAATTGGACATAATGACAGGCTAGTTGAACTTGAAATTCAAAAGAAAACGCGATTGCCCTGCTAGACCTATGGATTTCCAGTACAGGGTAAGTCAAATTATGTAACAGGGGGCAAATACCAATATATCATAAGAAAGATGTTCTCAACTTTGAGCTTATATGGGCAAACTTCTCTAGAATATCTAGAGAGATAAAGTAAAATAATTCAGAACAAACAATCAGAAAATTGATGTAGTGAGAAGTAAAGTTGCTAAAGCACTAGTGCATATACCTTACTCGTATAAGGCATCAATATTGCAAAATAAATACATAGTCATGACAAGAAGGTTTGAGATTGAACTAAAACTATTACAAGGAAGAAAGCGTATTAGAATAACCTTCCCATTTGAAATAATATAGAAATTACTACTGCCCGTATTTCACCAGATTAAAGAAATATTAGCTTATAACTTACCATCTTGTAGTGATCAGGTTTCTCTGTTTTCTTGGTGAAACTGGGAACTAACCCCCACTTCATGCAATGAAGAACACAACCTTCGCTATCAGATGCATCTTCTCTACGAACAACTGGCACGTTAAATCCCGGAGACACATTATATGATGGCCTATACCTGAGCACGCAGTCAAATTTAATATTACAAGTTCGCTCGATAGCGGGCGAGTTCGAAATCAAACTAAGACCCATTTGAAGTGAATTCACAAAAGTGACAGTTAACATAATATCCCCAGCTTCCATTTTCCTTCACTGGCTATTCAGTTGCAAAAATAGTCAAAACGAACAATTATTTGCAATTCAAAAAACAAAGCAAAATCGGCATAAACAAAAAGAGAAAGTCAACCGGTCCATATTGACGGAACGAACAGGACCATTGTCGCGATAACAAGCCCTAAGGAAGTCGTCGTTTCTCAGAGTACAACGAGCTCTCCCACACATCTCTTCGCCTCAGAAAACGATTAGGATTCTCCAAGGTTGTTCGGAAAGTGTTCCTTCGGACAACTGAATAAAGGCGGGAAGGGAGTGAAGTCAGAAAGAAGACCCAGGTGCTCCGCCATTCTTCTGGTGCTTCACCGTAGACCGTCAGATGAAAATCGCTGTAGATTCGAGTTCTTGTGGACCCTACTGCCACGTGTCCCACCCTCCAAGACCCAAATGTTGTCGTTGTGCTCGGATTCTCCAAGCAATGAGGGATCAGGATCGTTGGAAATGAAAGACAAATTTAAAAACCCTTAGGTAAAACAAAATACTCCAATTTTGGAGTAAATTTGAAGAGAACTTCCAAATTCTGATCCACAAGGGACCAAACTTCCTTTCAGGTCAAAAGAAAGACCAAACTATCAATTAAAATAAACAATACTCTCTCCAATAAAAAATATAAAGCATATTTAAAGGACTTAAATATTTAAAAATATAAAATATTTTTAATTTTTTGAGGTATAATTATTATTTTTTTTAAGTGCTCCTATTAATAGTGACTTTGTATTTATTATATGATAGTTAATAAAAATAAATATAAAAAGATAAGATTAATTTAAAAATAAGTAAGAACTTTATTAAAGGATGAAATTCGATTAAAAAGACTTTATATTTTTAAAGAGAGAGAGTAATAAATTGTAAAGACCAAACTAGAAATTTAGAAAAATCATAAATGTAATGCTATCAAAATCAAAAGTCAAAACTAAGGTTGAACAAATGCAAAAGTATAAAAACTTATTTAATTAACTATTTTCATCTTCGTGACATCTGAAGATAAACTATTAATTTTTATTCACTCTCTATCTTAAAATTTACCATCTGAATTCCGAACTTATCCTAAATAGCTTAAAGAGTAATTTTCGAAATAAAATAACTTCCTCTAGGTTTTTTTTTAAAATAACTTCTAATGAATAATAATAATTTCATAAAATTAAATTATTTTTTAATTTTCTTCTTAAATTTAAAAAAAAGGTAATTTGATATTTAGGGAGAGTTTTTATAAAAATTAAAATGTTTTATTTATTTTTAAAGTTTGATGGATGATACTTTTAAATTTCTTAAAATTGTATTTTAAAGTTACGAAAACTAAAAGAAAATGACTTATATTAAAAAAACTTTTAAGATGTGACTAAAGAAAAAGAGAATGACGATAAACTCCCAAAAGAATCAATTAATAATTGTTAAGTTCTTGATCAATTTTTTATAAAATAAATTATAAATATTAATTCAAAAAATTATAAATAAAAATTTAAATTATAAATTAAATATTATATTTAGAATTTAAATATCACATATGTAATAAAAACTTTTAAATTTATAATTATTTAAATCAATATTTATAATTTATTTTTAAAAAAATTTGTTAAGAATCTAACTATAATTAATTTTTTCTTGTAGGACTTAATTATCATTTTTTCCTTTAAAAAAAGCAATGTTTTCATAAGCATACCAAATTAAATTAGAAAGGCTAGTGGTTCATAATTTATATGGTCAAATCAGGTTGGACTAATAGTTGAACTAGTAACGTAATAATTAAATTAAAAATTTATATATATATATATATATAATAATTTAAATATAAAAAATAAATATAAAATTGCTATTTAACTTAAAAATAAAACTAAATATTTTAAGTTTATCATGACTTAACAAGTTATATAATATAACATAATATCAAATGATTAAAAAAATATTAAAAATTGATAAACAAATATAAAAAAACAAAAAGGGTATGTTTTTTGAAAAGTCATTGTTCGGTTTTTAAAAACAAGACCCAATCCCTTGCTTGATCTTGGTTTCTAGTTCAATTACTGGTCCAAAGCTATCCAATCCGGCCTAAACTCTTTAGACGTTTTTTTGGCTTGACCAAATAGTTAGCTTGACTGGCCAACAATTCGATTGATTTGACCATCCAATTCAATTCAATTTTTTAATCATTGAAAAAAAAATATAAGAGGAAGTAAGACATTTAATCAAAGATATATACATATTGAAATCAATTTTCAATTAGAATTGCAATGTTATCCTTGTTTGGATGGAAGGGAGGAGCCCCCTTTACCAAACAAGGGGAGACTTGTTTGGTGTGATTGGTAAGGTGGAGGGAAAAAAAATTTTAAACCAAAATCTTTTCTTCAAATTGGGAGACCCTTTCTTCTCTCTTTCCTTTGCTACATTAACATGTTGGTATGATGGAAGAGTTTTTAATAAAATTAAAATTAAAATTGGAATTGGAATCGGAATAGAATTAGATTTAAAAGTGTATTTGGTATGATGATGGAATCTTGATATAATTTTAATAAAATATAAGTACTTAAAATAAGAAAAGGCCAAAATGCCCTTTTTAAAATTAAAAAAAATTATATTGGAGGAGGGAGAAGGGGCAAACTGAAGAAAGGGAACTATGAAATCGGATTTCATGATGCATGTGATGGAATTAGATTCTACTAAATTTTCTTGAATCTAGATTCCAAAGAATCATAATTATTTCATACCAAAATCACATGTTAACAGATTTTATATTCAATTTTATTTCTTTTTTATGATTCTAAGCTATCAATAAGGCCTAAAATTTCTCCACTCCTTTCTAACCAAACATACCGTAAAGATACAAACGAGGTCGGGCCCATACAAACCTGAATTCGACCCGTATCGCCCCATGGAAGATTGGAAGGTATCGACATCTCTATCCGACCCGGATGCAGCACTGAGAGAGACGACTGTTACTGGCTTTTCCACCCTTCATGCTTTCTCTCACGAAACGACTTCAAGCCGTGGTGCCATGCCTCGGCCGCGGTGGTTATCAATTCCGGTCTTCTAGAGCCTACGCCGGCGGTCAATCTAGACGGCGGTCCAAGACTCCGCCGCTGCCGTTTCAGAAGGCGGAGGGGAAGTCTGAGTGGTGGATAGTAGACGGCGAAATGCACGAGATAGGCGATAACGTGCCCTTGCGCGAGCGCTTTGTTATCCCCAGAGAGAACATCCCAAATAAGCGTCGGAAGCAGCTGAGGGAGCAGTTCATGCGAAGGACTCGCCTGGTTCTCAAGGAGTCGGTTAGCCCCTGCTAATTCAAAATTAGACAAAAGAGAATGTTGTTTTAGATATTCTAGTACTCTTGTTGTGATTTTCCTTCTGTTTGAGTATGTCATTTGGTTTCTTTTAAAAACCACAATAAGCAAATAAGTAACGGAATTCTTATACTGATTATGATTCTGGATTTGATTTACTTTTCTTCAGTACTGGAGGGAAAAAATTGATATACGATAAACCCAAATCAAATTGCCTGTATATATTTCTATGGACGAATGGAGACATGTTTAAACTTGTCTTCTATCACTGCCTTGCCTTTGTATGCTTAGTTTCAGGTTTACATGGTCATTATCCTTCTTAATACAAGAAATGTGATGGACGAGTATGTCATGCTCATGTGTCATTGACTTGCTTTATGGAATTGTCATGATATTTTTTGTGTTGGTTATGATTTATAGGACAAAATTTAGGTAATTTTGTCTAGGCGTTCGCTATGATATTTTCTAATGGGAATATAATGTATGCATAACTTTTTCAGGTTGAAAGAATCAGTCATTTACTGTTCTGTGCCAAAACACACCCACACAGACAAATAATGTTTTGTTTGGAGAACCTTATAGCAAACATCTTTAAAATTGCACCTCCGTTTTTTCTTTTTATATATGGTATGGAATTCAAAACTTCCTTTATTTTGTCTTAAAATACTTCCATTTTACTGAAAGGAGCACGAGCCATGGTGCAAAAAATATATGGAATTATATAATGAGCTAAGGGAAAATTGGGAGAGACTTTATTGGGATGAGGGCTACTCTAAAAAAATTGCTCAAGACCATGCAAACTATGAGTCTGCTGAAGATGATGATGAAGATTTCTCCCCTTACAGGTGTGTTTGACATATCTTCTTTTCCTGCTATGGGTCAAAACTGAATTCTTCTGAGATAATAAAACGGTTTGAATTTTACATGCATGAGTTTGAGAAAACATGTTGTTTGAAATAGATTGCTAAGGAAAGGCTTGCAACTCATTCAAACTTGTACTGATCAATTTTTATCAGACAATTGGCTCTAAGGTTTTATCTGACAGTATTATCTAATTTTTGTGGGTTAATTTATGGTTTAAACTTTAAGTCAACCATGTGAATTAGATGGTGTCTGATTTCTGGTGTTTTATATTATGCCATTTCAGGAATAGGAGGCCTCATGTGCCTCACATGCAGCATAGTCAGGTACAATTGAATGTTTTAAATTTACTACACAGAATGATTTTTTCTGATAATTTTTTGTCATCTCTCGCTCTTGTACAATCTTGCCATTTGAATTTGTGATTATGAGAAGATTTGGCCTCATTGATGAGGCAATGTAGAAAGTGCCATAAAAAATTACTTGAATTTTTTATTTCATTTGAGTTTTATGCATAAAAATGGATTTGCTTTTGGATTTTGTTTTTCTTGAATTGACCCTATCTTCATTGCGACATGATGGACCTCCATGTCTGCCGCCTAGAATGGGTGAGAAGTGGCATCTGGTGTTGCAGCTCTGTCTTTGTGAGATCACTTGACGAATGTTGGATTACTTTACTTTACATATATTTTGAGCAATTTCTAACCATAATAAGTATGGATTTGTTTCCATTGGTGGACGTGTCATTGAAACATGTTAATGTGTTATTAAACATCTCTTTTTCTGGTCTTGAATCAGCTTTTGTTTCAGAGTCCTAGAGCATATTAATGTTGGTATATCACTATTAGCCGCCTTCAGTACCTTGGTGAACTAGGCAAAACTATGATGCCATTTTGGTCTTCACTTTTTGATTGTCTAATTCTTCTTGGTTGTATAAATGTTACACTATATTTGTGCGTAATTTTGTCAATTATCTCTATGTCTAATGCAGGACCAGAGTTTTGGAAGAAATAGGCAAGGTGATACCTGGGAAAAAGTCAACTTTATTCGGGATAAATTTGAGTATGACAGAGAGAGAAGAATGAGAGATAAAGGTAGTCAATTTTCTAGTTAATCAGCTTGTGATCCAACATCACCAATTATAATGAAGTTCAAGATTATATACATCTTTTCTTCAATTGCCATTGCCTATGGAAGTCTTATTTTATCAGTGTGGGTTTCTTATTGTTTAGGCTTTTCTTCCTGAAGC